TGTCCCTGTGACCAGCTTCTTCCCGTTGGCCTTTGCATCTGCCTTGTCCACTCCATATAGGACATCCATGCAGCCCTCCTGGCTGGAGTCACAGGTATGGAGGTGACAGCCCTGTAGTCTGTGAAGAGAGGGAATTAGCATGGTTCCTGTACAGGCCGCTTGGTTTTCATATTGGTCAAGGTGAACCAGGATGCACTGCAGGAACAAATGACCTGAACCCCAAGAGTCCGAGTACAGAGCCTGCTCTTACACCCTGATGAAAGCCCATTTTTGGCATCTCTGAACTTGCGTGTAGTTCACTTTCTGCAACTGGTCATGGAAGGCAGATGGGTATTACTTGTTTTTTTCATCACTGTGATAAAATACCCGTGAAAATCAACTTAAAGGAGGAGAATTTTGTATTGGCTCGTGGTTTCAGAGATTTTAGTCATGATCGCTTGAGTGTTGTCGCTGGTCTGTGATGACACAGAACATCATGGCAAGGAGCACACGGGAGAGACAAGCAGCTCACCTCACAGAGGACAGGAGGCAGAGGACAAGGCCAGGGCCCCACACACCCATCAAGGCCATGCCCAGTGAGGGCCACCACGTCCGCTGTCAGCATCTGCACAGGCGGCTGCGTGAGTGAGCACTCAGCTTCAGGGCTGGGGTCCCCTGAGGGAAGCTGCCCCCACCAAGTCCAGCCTGCAGCAACATTAAAACACGAAGGGACAGAGGGACAGATCACAGGGAACAAATATGAATTATTTGTGTGCTGCCTTTTCTTTCTCTTTTTCGTTTAAAAGGCAGCAGCATGTGTGAGAGGCAATTCCTTGAAAGATTTAAACTGTAAAAATATCAGTAATTTGGATCTGTTCTGTGATAGCATCTAAATCCCAATTGATTTTTTAGTAATCTCATTTTGCTTCAAGCCATAAAGGAATTAAAGAAGAAAGATTAATAATTAAAGTCTAGGAAAGTTGTGCTTTCATTTTGCTTAGAAGTTGGAAATGGACCGTCACGTTTCTCAGTCGGGCTGCCTACCTGATAATGATTCCTCCCTTCTTTTTGGCCTTCATTTTCAATGAGAGAAAAATTCATTTTCACTCTGGAAAGTTCTCAAGATACAAAGTTCTCCAAGATTCCAGTCTCTCCAGACCCTGCAACCGTCCGTTTTCTAATAAAGACCAAGCTGGACCTGGTGACTCCTCCTGGTACTCCGACATATTTTGGGAACTCTGATGAGAATGCAGGGAGACAGTCGACTGTTCTTTGAAGCTCAGCAGGATATTGGCTTTTCCTGGGAGCAGCAGACAAAGCACCTCAGCATTCCGGTCTTCGTCGACTTCAGGCGTGTTGATCGCATTCTTCTTCCCTCCTTGAACCCTTTCTCCCCAGGGGCAGCCAGGATCCCAGGAGGGGTGGAGCTTAAGTCGCTCAAGAGAGCCGGGCAGGCACAGACAAAGCTGGAGGACCTGTGTTTCTGGATGCCGTGCTGCCCCCGTCTGGTAGGGCTGTTCACTGACCTCAGTGAGGCTGCTCACCCACAGAAAGCAGGTGGGACTTCTCGTGGCCACCAGTAAGTAACTCTACTGAACACAAGGTTGTCAGGGTGCAAGAGAAGAGGGTGGCTCTGAGCCATGGGAGTGCTGTTCAGCATGCCGCGCGGCCTCCACTGACTAGGAGGAGCCAGGTGGGGTGTGACACCAGGGTCCAGAAAACAGCAGTGCGTGGTGCTAGGTCGTGAGCAGGAGCCCAGCTGCATCGAATTATCCCGGGGTTGAGTTGCTGCTCTTGTCTTCCTGCTGGCCTCATCTGGGCCTGGCCAGAAGCTCTGAACAGCGATGGGGAAAATCTGGCTGTGACCCATTCACTTGCAGAAGGCTTTTGGCTCTGCAGGTCTGCACATGGTGGACGGTGTATCCGGACTTCCTGTGTCACAGAAGGCCCTTGCTGGGCTCATCCCAAAAGGCTTCACTTTGCTTCTGCACCCTGGCAGCTCCTGCACCAACAGACTCCCCATATCATGTGTTAAAGATTTTGAAATGTCTCTGTTGTGTCTTTTAAAAAAAGTTTTTCCAACAACGTTTTAGTTTTAGTTGATAAGCAGATGTCTAATTTTACAGTGAAAGCGATTGATGTTTTCTTTGTGACATTTTTCTCATGACTTTCGTGTGTAGGAGGTCTTTTCTGGGTTTTCTTTTTCAATTATTTTCTAGTCCATCCAGAATTACTTTTATCTATAATGGAATGTGAAGCCCCAAAGAGTTAGGCAATTTTTTGCAGTACTAAACGCTGAATAATTTATCAGTCCTCCATTGATTCTAGCCTTTCAAGCAATGCTTGGGCTATTTCAAACCCTGCAGGAGACGTGAAGGCCAAGACGATTTGGCACGAGGACACCCAGAAGCCGAGCGAGAAGCCTGAGCTTGTGTTAGTGTTAAACGCCACCAGTAGTGGTGTAGGGGCCAAAGCTGGTTGAGGTCACTTCCCTCCTCTGAGCTGCACAGTGACTGTAGACAAACCAAGATACCTGTGGTGTCCGAATCAGTGCCTCACACATCCTGTTGCTTTTGAGCTTCCCAAGTGCTCCTGAGAGATGGGCTGCTCCCCTCCCTGGATGGTCCACTGTGTGAGGACAGTGATACTGCTGAGTTACAGCCCATACTACCTGTCAGGGCCACTGCACCTGGAAGATGAGCCTGTGAGCTGTGAAGGGCTGGTGGAGGCTCTCGTCCTGCTGTAGTTATTCCCATTACTGCTGGGAGCCCGGGGTTTCTGCAGGCAGTGGAAACGCGCTTGCTTGTCAACGCACTAGACATGCATCTCACCTCATCTTCCCCGTGTATGTCTACATTCCTGTCCTGAACTTGGAAGGAATCACTCTCACATCATGATCAGGAAAAAGTAAAGCCACAGTAAGCAAGCATCCCTTAGAGATCTGACGCTCCCAAATCCTGTGGAGGCATCAGGGTTTACTGCTGGAGGGTTTACGGCCACAGGAGTAACAAATGCCACGTCTGCTTTAGGAGGTGAAGATTAAAGACCGTCTGATGCATGGATTCCTTCTTTTGCTAGATACCAATTGAGGTATATTTATTTCTTTTAAAAAATAGGATTAAAAACTGGAGTTATTAAAGATGATAGCACTGTTGACTCATCTTCTTAGACACCAGTGTTGTGCGTTAAGTATGCATGTGTTATGGATTAAAAACTGGTCACCTTAACACCAGCTGAATTAAATCAGCATGGTGCTGACTGGAGATGGCCCACCTGAGGAAAGTCACCAGCATAAAAAGAGACTTGGAGAAGAGCTTAGGCTTCTCTAAGTGTTGCTATTTCAAGATGGTTCTCCTGGAGAGCTCATCATGACTAACTTCCCCAGTAGGAGGTCAGAGGAGATTTGCACCTTGTTGGTGAGAATGGCTGTGGTTCACTTTGGGGGGCTCTGGTCCTTACATCAAGCATCGCTTCCAGGCTCTGGAGGGGAAGACATGTGCTGGTTAATCTCCAGGAGAAGCTTGTCACGCTGGCTTTCTGGCATATACTCGACTGTTCTTATTAAGGGAGGAGCTTGGGACCTCCATGTCACTGACAGTGGCTGTGGTGCTTTTTGAGGAAGCTCTGGTCCTTATTTTGAGCATGATTTCATAGCTCCAGTGTAGAACCCTCAGCCTGATGCAGCTCCTTCAGCCCACTGCCATCGACTTTCTGGCTTCCACCGCTGACCTTTGGGCCTTCCCAGCACAGATCCATAAAGCAGACTGGCATGAGTCCTTCTCATGGGCTCTAGACCTCCAGCTGGACTCATGCAAGGCACTGTCATGGGCTCTAGGTCTTCATCTGGACTCATGCAGAACATTTCTGTGGGATCCAGGCCCTCAGCTAAATATTCTGGGTCTTTCATGTTGTGGACAGATTTCCTGCAAATTCTTGTGTTAAGCTCCGGATGACCATCATAAAATACTATTTTAAATTCTGTGTCCTGATTGTAATTATTCTCCTTACAACCCCTGATTACAATAGCATGTACATTTTATTAATATGGTATATACTTATATGTAAGCATACATAAAATGTACCCATATATTGGATTTTCTAGGTGTCTTATCTAGCACATGTGATTAAAGAAAATATTTTTGTCTTTCGAGGGAAGGAGACTATGTGACTACTGACTAGCAACTTAGCCACTCTGGTTTGTTTATATAATCTTAGCATTCAGCACAAGTTTATTATAGGGTTTTGGGTTTTTTTTGGTACTGAGGATGGAGCTCATGACCTCATGCTTGCCAGTCAGGCACTTATGCCACTGAGCTAAATCCTCCTCAGCCCAGTTCGGGAAATTTTTTAAAAGCTATGAAGGGAGCACACACACACATCCTTGGTCAGAGATGATTTTGCTATGGTCTCAGTGTCTATGTCCTTAGCAGCTCAAATTCCTGTGCTGAAACCTAGCCAGCTACAGTGGTGTTAGGAGCCTGGGCCACTGGGAGGTGGCAGGCTCAAGAGGAAGGAGCACTCGTGAATGGGATGCAGGCTCCTGCGAAAGAGGCCTGGGGGAGCTTGCACACCCCTTCTCCCAGGGACAGATGCAGTGAGAGGCTGCCAGCCCTTAAGCAGAAAGCCACCCTCAGCAGACTTAGCATCTGCCGGAGCCTTGAAAAGTTTGTTTTATACACCAGTCCTTGGGCTGCTGTTTCTGTAGTGGACTGAATAGACCAAGACACAATTATTATTATTATTATTATTTAAGATCTGAGCTCTGACAAGGGGTCAGATAGGAAGAGAGTTTGGGGGGCTACGGCCATCAAGGAGGGAGCCTAGGGGAGTTGAGGATGGGTGCTGTTGGAGTGTCCCTGCTTGAGGCCTGGGCTTCCACCTTTCCCAGCTCACAGCTGAATCTGCTTGGGGTGGGGCTCTCTCCCGACATGTACACAGCCAGGAAACTGCATTCCTGCTCCATCAGACACCAACGACTCAACCTTCAACTAACTCTGGCTTTCTTTCCGTTTTATTCCCAGACGGGGATTATTTCCCTCTATGACTGTGTGTTTAAGAGACGCCTGGATTATAATCAGAAATTGCACCGGGATGACAGAGAACACGCAAAAGCCCTGGGACTTCATGTTAACGAAGAGGTAACATTAAGTAGAATACTAACAAGTTGTAAATAGATCAACAAAACCAAGTACACATGTTTATATATATGTATGTATATATGTGTAGCATGTGTGTGCATATACATGTGCAAGTATATGTATGTATTCAAATAAATGTGCATGTACATAAGTGTGTATGCATGTATACATATGTGGAACATGCACATTTAAATATGCACATAAATTATACATGCAAATTTGTATAAATATATATATGTGCTCATATGTGTGTAACTTATATGCACATCATTTATATGAGTAGATTTGTGTGTGTGTGTATATGTGTGGGTATGTGCGTAAACACACATGCACTTAATTTTGTGTTTTGTTGCTTTATATGTCTTTCTTTGTAAGCAATTTGCCTATATCTTACTGTGCCAAGAAGCTGAGGCCAAGCTACCATTACAGCTCCCTCTATTTTATAGCGTCATTTGTATGTTATCTTTTGTTTTTAAGTTTGTCATTTGGTTCGATAGGTTGTAACTTCTTAAGGATAGCAAGACAAAGATGCTCTTTCCACAGATGGAACAGGTCTATGCTTAGCTCCCAGTCCCGGCTGCCCCAGTTCTTCCAGGGACCTGTGCTGTCCAAGGCTGAAGTCGCACACACCAGGGTATTTCTCCCAGTTTTAGTCCCTGAGCTGCTGAAACCACCCCATGTCGGCTGCTCTTACCCTGGTCAGGCCCATCTGCCTTTTGGGGTACACCCTTCTGCTGTCTGAAAACACTGTGTTCACAAAGCCTGGTTTGAGGACCACAAGATTATTAAGTGTCGGGTGCTGAATATTAACTATAGTAGAGAAGCTTCCAGTAAGCTTCTCTTTGGCTCTTTAGATTTTTGTTTATGGCTGTTATGTATTCATTTTTGTACTGGGAATTGAACTCAAGACCTTGTGTTTGCCAGACAGGCACTCATGCCACTGAGCTGTATCCCCAGGCCTCTGTTGTTGGTTAAGAATGCCGGGAAGAGGGATATGGCCCAGCAGCAGAGGACTCACTCGGGTGCATGAATCCCTGGGTTTCATCACCAGCACTGCAAGGAATGCCACGATGCCTAAAAACCTTCTTTATTTTTATATAAAATTAAGTGGCAAAGGTACTATGAAGTATTCACATTAAGGCCGCATATACTTTTTTTTCCTGTCCATTTTGCTCATGTTAATGAGTCCTGATGTAGCAAAATGAAGTCAGCGATTTCCTCATGAAAAATACCAGGCTCACATCATTGATGTTTTCATTGCCTCCCATATTCGTGTGTGTGTGTGTGTGTGTGTGTGTGTGTGTGTGTGTGTGTGTAATGCATGTGCTAGTAAGCAGGCACTCCCATATACTGCTGAGCATAACTGCAATGACCTGAGCTTCTGTCCTCTGGGGCTGACATCCCCAGTAGACAGACAAAAATAAAGAATGTGGAGCCCTGCCCCGGGTTAGTGACAGGCAGTGTGGAGAGGTGAAGGTCATTTAAGGGAAAGAGAAGTCCCATTTAAGGGGATGATGAGGGTCCTGGGAGGGGTAATGAGGGTCCTGGGAAGCGTGGAAGACTGTGACACCTGTGATGCTAAGAGACTCCAGTAGTGTGGAAGGCCCCAGCAGGAGCAGGATAGAGAAGTGACCAGAAATTCGAGCAAACGGGGTGAACAGAGCTCTGAAAGCTGGAGCACACAGCCCTGTGTTCTGGGAGAGAAACAACAGCAGGGGAGGTGGCTGTGTCTGCTCATCTCGGTGACACAAGCCCAGCACCCGCAGTGTCAAGGAAGGAAGGGTTATTTCCACTCACGTTCTTACTCCAGGGTTGGTCAGCTGCACGGTGGCAGGGGTTGTCAGAGGACAGCTACTCACCCCAGGGTAGCCGGGAATCAGAGGGGTAAGGGAGGAGCGGGGACAAGAACCCACCCTTCCAGGTTAGCTCAGTGACCGCCTCTGGCCAGCCCCCACCGCCTAATAGCTCATTCGGCTCCGACTCCTCCGGAGATGAACCCTCAATATGTACAGCCTCCCCTACACAGGAGCTTTGGAGGTGAGGTTTAGACTGAAATTCTAACTGCGAAGCCAAAGCACGTGGTGTGGAGGGTGCAGGATCTTAGCTGTTCCCCTGAATGACCTGAAGACATCAGAGGTGCTGGGGGAGGGAATGGACTGTGCTGCAGTTTGCAAGGAGCCACAGGGGCCAGGCAGGGTCAGCGTGCAGCGAGGTGGACATCTTTTTGGCCTGCCAGGTGGATCCAGGTGGGTGGGTGTCTCAGCGGTGCTGGAGAGCCTAGGGCACTGACCCAGCATTCTGATCTCCTCACCAGGAGCAGGAGAGGACTGTAGGGGTGCTGACATCCTCGGTCTACGGGAAGCGCATCCAGCAGCCCATAGAGCCCCTGAACCGGGACTTTGGCCGAGTGAACCACGTGCAAGCCGACTTCTACAGGAAGAACGACATCACCAGCATCAAGGAGCCCAGCTTTGGGCACATCACTCCGGCCTGACACCTTCCTGGCGGCCCGTGGGGTGTGTGGGGGGGTGCTCACTGGGCAAGGGAGGTCACCCAGGGTGTACAGCACCCTGCACGGAATAGTGCATAGCGACCTGTGACCATGGGGGGATGAGCAGCTTTCCTGCAGGTTGTCTTGGGTAGAAACCTGGCTAACACCTTCAGTACGCAGTAGGAACGTGCAGAGAGGATTTTACTGCACTTATTTCAGATTAAATGACACAGGAGATGGACTGATTGTGAGCACCTGAATAAAAGGAAACCCTGGCCCCCTTCCATGATAGCTGGCTCAGTCTGGATCTCGTTACTGTCCGTGCCTTTGCAGGACTCAAAGGAAGTGGTCACAGAGGCGGTCACGGGCAGGATGAGGTTATTCCACTGACAGTCATGAGAAGTGCTGAGGAGGCACAAAGCCCCAACAGGGCAGAAAGCAAAAGGTCTCTGCTGCCCTAGAGGTCTGACTCACACCCTGGGGGAATGGGTGGCTTCTTGTCACTTCTCAAGGGAAGTGGCTAGAGGCCCTGCAGAGAAGGCTGTTTGGGGGTTCAGTGGACTTGGGGGAAATTCTGGCCACCGCCTTTTCTCCTTTGTGGTCTAAGACAAGTCACTTGATTAGTGGAGCCTTCATCTTTCTCATCTTTCAAATGGGATTTCCAGACCTCGATGCATCTGTGCTGGGCTCAGCGAGTTCCCAGAGAGGGTGAGGAGGGTGCTGTGGGGTGAGAGAGAGCACCCATTGCCGTGACTGTCCCCTGACCCCCGTTCTGGGCATGGGACCCAAGTCTTGCATACACTGGGCACTGGCTGTGCTCTGCCTCTGAGCTCTACCCTGACCACCACTGCCTTCTCCAGGGGTTTCCTCTTTGGGGAGCAGCTGTTTTTAACTTGGAAATGTTTGCTTTGGAGATAATGTGAAACTCACTGGCTTGCAAACACATCAGCTATGATTCTTCTTTTGGAGGAAATCATCCCTCCTCCCCTGTGATTCAATTTTCCAGTTAGGAGGTATCGGGTAAATGGTCTAATTAATTTCAAAGCCGGTCCCTCAGTCATTGGTTTTATTGTTTGGAGTCTGAGTCTGCTGGAGGATTCTCGAAGGACCCACAATACTGAATTGCTGGCAGTTTCAAGGCTGAGTGACTCCTAAATATTTCTTTATTTATTGCAATTTTTTTCAGCGTACATGCCTTTTATTTAAAAAAAAACATCAAAAGTTTATTTGAGTCATTTTGGGATGCATTATTCTATATTTGCAATAAAACAATAAAAATATATACAATTTAGACAATAAAACTTTGTATAAATTACTCTTTATTCAGTATCAGTTTCAACAAAAAAGTATCTCAGGTTGACCTCAATAAATTTATATCAAACTAAATTATTTTCATTTTATTTTAAGTCAGACCCAACACTCTTAACCTTCTGCTTATTTTTTAAAAGCAGGGGTGAATTTGGGCAGGGTTTCAAAAGATATCACACTTCTGAGGCAGTAAAAAATTTAAAAGTATTTCTGTTGGCATCCTGGCATTCCCAAATTAAAGTTAATAAATGCATGCCCACTAGGGCCACCTTATATCAAAGAGAAAACTTTTTCTTTAATTGAGAAAGGGTTTCCCAGTCTGGTCACAGACGTTGGAGATCAAAGTGATCATCCTGCCCAAGTCTTTCAAGTAGCTGCAACAGCAGGCTTATACCAGCATTCCTGGCTAGAGAGAAGACACTCATGTTAATGGAACGTGTTTCTGTTGAATGGGTGCCTACCCTTGTTCAGTTATATTTCTTGATCAGTAGGTGGATGTAGAGCAAAGACAACTGGAATGGTTGCTGCCGTGAGGCTGAGCCCAGTGAGTTGGAGAAAGATTAAGAGAGGACTCACAAGACTTAGCTCTCTGGACAGACACATCAAAACTGGGGAGTTTTAAGAGAACTGGGCTCAGGAAGGAAGGCTGAAAGGTAAAGGGTGCACTGGGAGAGACTCCTTGAGGCTGGTGGCAGGGGCCAGGCTGGCAGAGGGCACAGCGAGCCCTCCCACCTGCACTTGCTGCTCACGGGGATGCCTGCAGTTGCCCAGAGGTCCAGGAGCCAGGGCAGGGCGGACTCCCGTTTGTCATGGGGAACGATCTGTTTTCCACACTACCTTGCCTTGAACACGGAGCCGCTGTCATGCTCTGAACATGGGTCGGGCTTCTCTGTCCCCTCCACGTCAGGAGCAGGCATCTCAAACTGAACAGAGCATCAGGGCTGCCCAGGGAGCTCAGTACACAAAGCACAGACATGTGCCAGGCCAGAAAGTCAAATGGGGACTGAGCATTGGTACATGTGACCAGTCCCCAGAGGTCTCGGGCTGCTGGCAGGGTGAGTACCTGCACGGGCCCAGGTGTGCACAGAGCTTTGCCAGGTTCTCTGTGTTGTCTGGTCAGACTGGCACACAATGGTGGGCATCAACTGCTTTCAGGTCCTTCTTTCCACAAACCCAAGTTCACTGCCTCCAGGAAGCTGTGCTTCAGAGAACTTGGTGATCACCCTGTGGTGGGTTTTTCTCAAGAGCAGATGGCCTCAGGCAACCTGGGATATATTGATGCAAGGGAGGACGAAGCCACCAGGCGCTTCTGCCAACACCAACCACCACCACAAGCATGAATGACGCTGCTGTGAGTGCCCTGAAATCCTTGGGCATTCCAGGCCAGGCCCGAGTGAGAGGGGACAGAAATGCCCTTACCACATTTCCCGGCTTCCACCACCTTTTTGGAGATTGAGGAGTACTGAGGCCAATGCTGAGTCATGATTACAGGATCAAAAAGCCTTCTGATTGGGCAGAAAATTGAAATCCTGCAGCATTCCCACTTGGGTGTTGGAGGCCAGATGGGAGTCAATGTCCTGGTGCGGCTTCCTTGTGGCTGCTGGGAACAGGCTGGCCAGGGCAAGCCCAGCCACCAGCCGGAGGGGCGAAGAGATGTGCTCCAGCCACATGGCAAGCACCACGTGTGCGCCGGACGGGAGACTTGTGCTTCCTGTCTGAGCTCTCACTGGCGCACTGCTGTCCAGGACATCTGCGCATCCTCCGGCCCCTCACACACCTGCCCTGGGCTGAGAAAGAAGCCAAGTCTGCCCAGCAGGCTGCTGCTTGCGGTTTTGCTTTTAAACATTAGGTTATGAATGATCAATTGTTCTATTTTTCATCATTTGGTAAAGTGTAATTTCTTCATGTGAAAAGGAAAAACACCAAACCTTAAAATTGGATTTATAAGAAACCAATTCCTTCCAGGTTTCCTGTCTTGACAAAAAACATACACACTAGTTCGCTGTCTTCTTAGCCTTCTCAGACTAACAGCTTCCCTGGGTCAGCTCAAACTGTCAGGATGCCGGACTTACAGCTGCTTCCGAAGTATTCTCAGGGAGTCCTACTGCTAGTTCTAGTGAAGTATTATTGTAGACAGGAGTGCAGTGGACAGAGGAACAGAATCTTTTTACTGTTAAAATGTTCTTTCCCCAAGACTGTTCTCAAAAGATGCCAAAATGCAAACCAAATCATTCGAAACATCCTTTCCTCCCCGCCCAGAGAGCTGTGCCTTTAATTATGTGCATCGACAACTTTGACTCAAGGGTCCTTCCACATGGGCTTCTGGAGGGCTCTTTCTGAAACAAGTGTGCCAAGAGGGAGAATGATGGAGAACAAGCTTTAATTCTGGAGCGAACCACAGCAGAAGAAAGGAGAATAAAATAATACGGGCACTAGAAACCAAAGTACATAAAAGTTTTAATGAGTTAACCTTACAAAAGACAAATGGCATTAAAACATCAGATGAGTTTGGTACAAAACTGGCCTAGGTGGTCAGGACTAACTCTGGTGGTGGATGGCAACGTGCTGCTGGCTCGGGACACAACAGAGCAAGGTGACAAGCCCCGGGTCCCAGCTGGGAGCCACCGGTGGCCACTGGCGATGAGACACAGGATGGGCAGTTACAGATTCCATGTGGGGTGACCAAATCAACTTATTCACAAATACTGTGTGTTTGGGTATCAGACTAGCAGATGCAGTTGGCGAGCTACCATATTTTCCAGAAAAGAACATGCACCAGAAAATAATATACCCCCCAGTTTTATTGCCTTAAGAATTTGTGTTTGCTTCACCTCTCCCCTTTGTCAGTTCTGCGAATGCGCTCCGTCTAGGACACGCTCCATTCTCCTTTTGCTCAGGAGTAAGCACAGTGCAAGTGGCAGAAGGATCTGGGCACAGGTCAGACACCAAACGGTATGCCACTGGGTCACAGGAACTAGTCTGCAAAGGCTCCGGAGGATGGGACAGAGCACGCACATCGAAATGAAGGACAAAATATGTAGTCAGAAAGTGCGTGGTACCTTTCAAAAAGTACAGCGTCCTTGCCACAGTCAGGACTACTCTTCAGGAGGCGATGTTGGTCTGGGAAAGGGAGCGTGACATTTCTGTGTTTACAAAGTACGTCTTCAGGTCTCCCTTTCCTTTCACGTTGATTATGCCTCGACATGTGCACGTGTATCCGAGCGTCTGGAGGACCAGGCTCGTCTCCTCGGTAACCTGCAGGACATGTGGACACATGGAAAAGCATTTAATTTAGTACCCAAGTTAAGGCGCTCCATAAGAGTTGTCACAGATGAAAGAGCCAAAAACAGCTTCACACTTCTTGACCCAGTTACTTGACTCCTGAGAAATTAATGGAAAGAGAAAATAATCCACAAGAATAAAGCATTGTAGGGTCAATAATGTTAACTTAGTGCTGGGATTAAAAAAACACACTGAAGGCAACCTAAAATTTCAAGTTGCCTACAGACTTGAGAAAGTCCTGGTGCTACCATGATCAACATCACGGATGGGATGGGAGTGAATTTGTGTAGAACCATTTCACCCCCCCAAAAAAGAACTAAGCCTGGATTCAGGCTGTGAGTTTAGCCACATGAAATTCTGTGTTCATTTCAAAGAGAAGATAAATCAAAATGACATTGGAAGGCTGGGGTTAGGATGATATTCACATTGTCCTGAATGCCATCTCACAAAATACTAAGTAAAATATCAACAACAGGTTCTTGTTTTAGAAAGATGGGAGAAAATATCCTGAGAAGCACAGTCAGCTCCAGTGATGGCCTGTCACCATCACCAGGTTCATGCACAGGAAGTGACCACCCTGACCAGAACAGTGGTATTTGCAGTAGCATTAGCGAAGCAGGCACTCTCCGTTGGTTTCCTCATTGCACTGCACTGGGGGTGCAGAGAGCACCCCCTCCTTGCAACTATCCATGTGACCGCACTCATTTTCCGCCATGCACCCTGAGGGGACCCAGCCGTCAAGTCCTCTGTCACAGGGCAGTGGAGCAGATGTGCCCTGTTCAAAGCCTTGCGTTGTCCCAGAAGGAGCCTGTGGTGTGTCTTCCTCAGGGGACCAGGCTTGGGACCTGCTTGAGCACTAGAGGGGCCTCCTGTTGATGGCTCTCTCCCAGGCAGAGAACAGCTGAGCTGCACACCTTGCTGCAGAGGCATGGCAAAGCCTTGGGCCTGCATCACAGTCTCCAGCAGGTGACTGGGTCTTGGGCCGGTGGGAAGGAGTCCTTTCCATACAGAGCCCTGGTAAGCTGCCTGGGAAGCACTCGAGACACAGGAGAGATCCCCTCTCACTTCACCAATGGCCCCAGGCATGGCTGTCAGCAGGGCATTGGCACCTGTCCACATCCGGGCTATGGGTCACACACCTGAGCTGGGCATGCTTGGCACAGGTGGGCAGCTTGTGCACAACACACCAGTGTTATAACATGACTCTGGCTGTGATATAGATGCTGCCTGAGGACACAGAGCTAGGGCAACTTGGGTGTAGGCCCCGCCCACAGCTTGGTGCCCAGATGCATCGTGGGTAGGGACCCACGGAGCTCCAGCACACTGGTCATTACCACTCCAGTCTGGGACACCTGCTGGGGTGTTTGGGGGCTCTCCATGCAGCTTCCCCAGTTTTAGGCTGAGTGCTCATGGGACCTGTGGTGTTTGTGAGGATTTTTTTAATGGTCCAGGCATCCTTTTTCACTTTTCCTGCCTTCCCAAGACTGCTTCTGCATATTCCTGGGAAGGAGTGGCCCTGGAGCTATTGCAGCTGACTGGAGAGGAAACCTACTAGAGGCCACACTCAGCTGCCGAGCTCAGAGCATCACAGCCTGTGACAGCCCTGCTTCTGACAGGCAGAATCCCAACACTGCTCCTACCCCAGATCGGATGCACACACAGTGTTGGTGGCATCACATGGAATGTTAGGAGGCCACATGTCCTCTGAGAGCCATGTGAGACACCAAAGCATCTTCAGCACTGTCCAGTGGGGGACTCAGATCCCAGGAGGGGCAGCTCTCAGGGACCTCATTTCTTGAGGTGATTTTGATCCTTACTCCAAGTGCTGGAAAACTTCTTGATTTGTAAAGCCCAATAAGAACCACTACTTATCTCCCTACCATGTGGGGTGTGGTGGGCACACAGAGGGCCTGCAGGTAGGGAGGTGTGTCCTTGGCTGGGCATCCTCTTTCCCAACTAGAGGACCCGCTGTCCAGGATGGTCAGGCATCCCGGTTCTGATAGCTAGATGAGGCTGTCAAAGCGCTGGGCCACTCCTCCCCTGTGGTGCTGCAGGGTGGGCTCCATGGATGCCGAGCCATGCTGCAGTCCCCATCAGAGGAGTCTACACTGCACAGCCCCCAGCAGGAGGGAAGGAGAAGGAGCAGGCATTCAAGGCTCACTGGCAGTGGGGTCTCCTGAGCAGAGCCAGCTGTGAGGGATGGGGAGACGTCCTCTCTTCTTCCCGTGCTTTCCTTCGTTATCTGCCTTCTCTGTTGGGCTTTTGCTTTCTTTGCAGCAACTACTGACTGACTAATAATGTGAGTGGAAGAAGGAAACACTTAGAAATGATGTTTGGTCATTCTACAAAAATCAAAGCCATGGTTTAGAAAGGCCACCGAATAAATCCTGGGACAAATGAGGCGGGACACTTTGAGAGGCAGGTGAGTAATGAACATAGTACATTTGATGCCAGGGGAGTGGAAGGCATTCTACACAAGTACGAGAGGCTGGCAGGACTCTCCTAATTTCCAGAGGCAAGGTTAGATGTGGCCCTTAGCCAGGTATAGGGAACCCCACCCCTGCCCCTGGAAGGCTGGGTGGAGTAGGTTGTCTGTGCTCAGGATGTAGGACCCATCTCCCTTACCCAGCTACTGGGGCTGAGAATGAATAAGACCGGAGGAAGCCACTCCTGAACTTAATGCTCTGGGTTGTCACAGTGCAATGTGGGTTACTGCTAGATTAAAGGGTCTGCTATCACTGGTGCAATGGTCTTTATCTTATTAGAATCTTGTAATTGTTGTAGGTATCTTGATGATAGAGTTAAAGACATCATATTACAGTGAAGTATGCATATTCATGTTTGTAGCAGCATAATTCATAATAGCTAAACTTTGGAAGCAACCTGTATGTCCATCAGCAGATGAATGGATAAAATGTGCTATTTACACACAGTGGAGTACTACTCTTCCATAAAGAAGGATAATCTCAAGTCATTTGTAGGAAAATGGATGCACTTCGAGACTATGTTTGTTATATATAAAAATATGTGGTAATCATGATTCCCCATTATGTGGCCTTGAAGCCTTATAAAGTTTTCACTTATTAATTGGAAAGGCTTTATTCTGGGCTTCTTGATATGGAAATATTTGAAGCTATAGTATATGAAGTTTTATCCAAATATTTCAAGGAAAAAGACAGACACTATGGTAACTACTATTAAGTCGGGTTATTTGGTGGTGAAGCACTAGGTTGCTAAAACAGTCATGCTTTGACCTCTATTGTTATATTGTTGTCTTGTTTTATCTCAATTTCTCCCTTATTCTTTAAAAAAATTATTTAGTTATTTCTTATGTTTGTTTTAATTAAGGGGAAAAATTTAAAAAATTAGGATATATAATAGTAACTCTTTTTGATTTCCTATTAACTTGTTTTGAAGTCCTGTAATACTCCCACAATCTTGTTTTGACTGATTAGACTCTGTTCCATTCTGTATGATAGTATCAAGTTTGAGGGTATAGGCAACTACTTTGAAGGCAATAAGATTCACTAAGATGCCCATTCTGGTTTGACTATTGTCTCCTTTGGAAGTCCTGTAATGTTTACAATGCCTAAGTTTTATTGGTCTTGTTCTCTACTGTTTTGCCCAACTTTATAATATCTAATGAGATAGACAATTCTTTTTAAGGAAACAAGAGACAACGTTGATAACCATTGTTAATAACCTTGTACTCTGTTCTACATCATGTGCTATGTCTATCCTTGGTTTTGACTGACAGCTTTGTTTTGGCATATTTGACTTTATTCTCTCCCCTCCAAAAAAGTAATAAGAACTAAGGAGTAATAAAATCCAAAATGTGTAAATTTTGTTGTAAAAAAGAGAGGGGAAAAAAAAAGAGCTCTAACGGATATAACAGCAAGTGTGTTTAGGGGTGTTAAATAGCTGACTATATTAATGTTTTTGGATCATTGAACACAGCTGTTTGCAGTCTCTCTGTTTGAATGTCCACTTTGTATTCTTTGATACTGTGATTTGAGCAACTATTTCCAAGATGATAATATGTAATCTATTAACAGGTGATTTCTTACTGTTATGTTTTTTTTTTGTAGTTCTGTATTACGTGTACCCTTACACCGCTTTGTTTTGTTTTGTGTTTTTCTCTTTTTCCTCTTAAATAAAATAAAAAAAAGACTATGTTTGTTATGGTTTATGTTTGGATGCCCCCCCCCACCTCCATTCTCACCCAGTCATGGAGACAGCTAAATCGAGCATTTGTGATTGGTTTGTTGTGTAGTGCTGAGATTGTAGTGTGAGTGTGAGTGCACACCTGCCCAGGGGCAGGGAGCTGGCATACAATATAAGAGAGGGAAGAAGGCATGCTTTTCCCTTTTTCTGTCCTTTATGCTCTTGTCACTTACGGCCGCCATGAACGGCTGCTCATTAGCCAGGCCACCCTGCCTTGGAGCCAGCTGAGTGAAACCTCCAAAAACTGTAAGCTGAATAAACCTTTCTTTCATTTTGGGCACCAAGTATTTTGTCTTAGCAACAAGAGAAAAGTAACCAAGACAATGTTGAATGAAATAAATCAGACACCTAAGCTTAACTATTGCATGGTTTCTCATATATGAGAAACTCAAATTATAAATAAAAAGATGTAAAATAGGAAGTAGGGAGACAGGTCTTCCTCAGATGAAAAGGGGATAGAGAAATGAAGGGAAGGGAAGAATAAAGGCATTAGGTGCAGGGCCCGAAGCCACACAAAGAGCATAAATATTGCGTACTACCAACCTGAACTAATAAAAAAATAAAAATGGGGAAAAGGGGGGAATTAGTACCTCTAGGATAAAGAAAGTTATATGTAAAAGAAAAAACAGTTAATATAAAAACTAGTATATCTGCCATAAAAAGGTTTGAGTTCTAAGATTTACCTTTTAAAATTTTATATGAACTTACTATTATCATCATTGGTATGGTTATATCTATTGACAGAATGGGTGAGGAGACTTGAGTCACCTGTATCTTGTCCAGGACTCCGGTGCTGTCCATCCTGCTGGCCACATTGACGGTGTTGCCCCAGATGTCATACTGCGGCTTCTGGGCGCCGATGACACCAGCAATCACAGGTCCATGGTTAATGCCTGTGACACATCAGAAGGGGGTTAAGGAGACCCAGATCGCGGCCACGGTCTCAACCTGGAGAGCTGCCCGTGGTCGTCCTTGAGGAGACATGAAACTGAAACTCTGAAGCTCAGCCAAGTCACTCCTCCAAGCTTAGCATCTCCAAAATGTGCGCTGGCCACTTGCATGACTAGATCTTATTTTGCATTTATACATCCACATAGTCATCCCCAGAATGCTGCTGATATTACTGTAATAGGAGCATTTTTCTATGTGGCTGTGTAACCATAGCAAAAAATCTACAGGACTGCTGTTTTTCAAGAATTTCAGAGTTCATGCTAATTTTGAAATATGCACATTTTAATTTCAAGTGGACACCTAGAGGGGATGGACTGTACTTCATTGGCCATTTTGCCTCTGTACGGTTTTGGGGTTGACACCGTTTTGCCCCAGTGACAATCTCAGTGACAACCGTTACAGCCGTGTGACCACAGCTTGTCTGATTTCCATGCTCTGTTCGGACTGCCTTCCACATCTAACTTCCCTCCCTGTCACACACACCCATGGGTGGGCCCTGAGGCCCAGCTGTGTTTCCCAGGAGGAGTCACAGAGGGCGACTGGTTGCACAGGAGGAGGCAGACACACAGAACACAGTGGGGTGTGTGTGTGTGTGGCTCTGCTCCTGCGACTCTGCGCTTCTGTGCTCCTGCTTCTCCCCACCAGCAGACGGGTGGCTGTTGATATCCTTCCACAGTATGGTGGTGACTCCTACTGCCCAGCCAAGTTCTAGTGAGCTCCCCTAGTTTCCACTACTGGCAATGAGGATTCCATCTAGGCCCCCATTTAAAATATCTTCCCATGTGTGTTGAAATGAATTTGATGCAATAAAAATTTGGGGGAGTTTTTCACATAAGGAAATGATGTGCATTTAATAACATGCTGCAGGGGTAAGATGGGAGAGGGCAGGGGACTACGGCGGGGAGTTCCAGGGGCCTTGCATTTGGAGAGGAGGTGGGCACAGCTGGAGACCAGCTGAAGACATCCTTCATGAGAGGTGACACAACATGGTCATTGGGCCAGCTCTGGAAGGTCCACCAGGTCCTGCTGCTTGGGTTCTTGTCCTTCTTATTGCTGACTTTCCCTGGCATTTGTCAGAGCCCTAAGCCTCCTTGCTAACTATGATATGCTATGGAGACTTAAGGAAAGGTCCCAAGAGCAGTTCAGGAAGTCACCTCTCTCTGACCCAGGTGGGCTGCTTGGCTAAGGGCAAATGGAGTTTCCACAATGTTGGGGTCCATAGGTTTCGCTGTCACTTCCCAGATAATGCGGCACCCAGGGCCACTGGTAACAGAGGTGATACTGATTCTTCTGACCTCCCTCTCTTAGCAAATGAAATGATAAAAGCCCTGTTACTGCAACTGACATTGGAGTTCAGGGTGTGCTTTAACACTAAGTGGGACAGAAGGTGTCATCTGTTACCATGAGCCAAAGTTTCAAAACCGAGGTCAATATCTCCAACCCAAGGGGGAGAGTCCTCTGGGTCCTCTCCAGCCCAGAGTTGGGGTGGGATGACTGCCTCTCTCGGGAACCCGACAGGAACACAAGGACCAGCGGCTGTCACGGGAAGGTTGCATTAGTCTGACAGTACTGATTGGTGAAGGTGTTTCTGGGAGATTTAATTCAGGACAAATGACCATCTTAGGGACAGATTTTAGGCAGCATTTTCTCTTCACAGTGGGAGCTTATCCCCAGACACCATTCAAACACTATTCCATAACTTTAGGTAGAGAAGAGGTGAGAAATCCATTCCCTTTGCTTTTGGGGAGGACTGAAGAAAACTCACTTCTGCTTTGGAGAGCCCAGCTCTGGAGCAAGCTTAGCTCACCGAGAGTCAGGTGTGGATGCTGGTCCAGAAGGCATCCGCTCATCCAGGGGCTGCCCTCCTGGCTGCTGCAGACTCCTGCGTGAGTAGCAGCTCCCAGGGCGGGGAGAGCCTAGCTGAATACTGATGCCAACAGGGCCACCCACTTAGTGCGGGAGAGTGACTGATTTGTGGCTCTGATTAGCCAAGCTCAGGATGCAAAACAAAACAAAACCAAAAAAGGTGCAAAGGGTGAATGCAGCTCTTACATGGTCACTTTCCGATGATAAAATTATGCTTCTGCTTTCCTACATGGGAATTGCCACTGGATGGCGCTATGTGTTGAGGTCTAGCAGGGAAGCACAGGAAGAGAGGCAGAGGCTTTGGGGAGGGGACGTTCCAGGGCCAAGTGAAACAGTCAGTTAGACCTCTTGAGCAGTCTACAGGGCCGATCCATGGCCTGAGCGCATCCACGCTCTTAGCTGTTAAATAATAGGTCTAAAGCTAGCACTTGGCAAACACTTGCCCAGGGGAGAACATCCAATTGCTCTCCTTAATTTGGAAAATATTAGAGTCCAGACCAAGAAAATTGCTTTGGATGCAGGCCATGTAACCAGCAAAGAATTGTCCTGTTCTTACACTGAAGTGCAGGGCAGGATTATTTTGGTCCATGTATGCTTAGCTTATGCCATGCATACATTTTTCTTCTCAAAAGAGAGCACAGTGGATCGGATATGGTTTCACTGTGATTGGAGGGGTTGTGTTAAGTAGAAGCTTAGTCCTCTGTGTGGTGATGTAAAGGGGGCGGAAACTGCCACAGGTGAGATTTAGTGTAAGGTCATTAGGTCTCTGGGGGCACCACCTGTGAGGAGATTAATGCTGGTTTCCCACTGAGTTCCCACAGAAGTGGGCTGTTATAAAGCAGCGAGCCTGACTTTCTAATCTCTCCCTGGCCTCCCCTCTTGCCATATCATCTGTCATCCTCACACACAGTGCCACCACAATGCCACTTGTCACACTGTGGTGTAGCCAGAAATTCTATGGGTTGAACCATAGAATGCATTTGCAGTCTGCAAAACTGAGAATGAAGCAAATTCCTGTACTGACCTCAGATATGTTGTTACAGTAGCAGGAAAAAAAGCAGTAATACAGAATGGTAGAGGAAAGTTGGAGAATACCATTTTCCAAGATATCAACACAACAGGGAGGCTCTTGGGCCAAGGGGACCTGTTTGATGTGGTCAGCTGCTTGCCCGCTAGGCCTGCCTCACCCTTGTGTTCAATAGAGCCCTGATGAAGCTCACTGTGCAGAGAAGAGAAGCATAAAGAAAAATCTACTCAAGCTCAAGATGGACAATTGCTGGCATGTACAGAGAGCGTATCTCATTTGCTAAATGAGATATAAAACATTTCTTGATTTTAAAATTCAGGCCACATGTAGAAGATGAAGAAAATAGTTTAAATATCTTACACTTTCCAAAGAGCAGAAATCTGTATGTAAGAAAATGTTAAAAACTATGCAGATGGAATCTGTCTCAAGAACTACTCCTCCATGGTCTATCAGAAGCCAAATGTGTTACCAAGAAAACCATCAAGCTATAGAAGCAGCTCTTAAAAATCCTGAATGATCACAACTGTGCATCCATCATGAGGAAGCTGTGTGCTAACTTGGTGGCTCAAAACTCACGTTTTTTTGAAGTATCTGTGAAAGTCATCATTAAACATACCAAGAAATCAACTTAAATTTTGTTAAGAACTTATTAGAAATCAGGAAGTCTTTTTTTAAATGTATGGAAAGTGATTATTTTTTTATGATAAAGAAAACTAGTTTTTCTCCTGCAGTGATTGTACAACTCTAAAGAGCTACAGCTATTTCAGAACCGAGAACATGTTTGCTGTTTTGGTTGCATGTGACCCTGTGACATGAGGCTGTCCTTCAACAACTTTAACATTCACCTTTTCATTGCATTTTCATATCCCTGAAATCTGGGTGCACGGTATGATTAGTGGCAAGCTCTAATTTCATTGGTAATGGTCTGGAAAATAACAGAACAGCTTCCAGTCAACAACTTCCAATAAGCCAGCTTACTGCTATGCATGTCCTGCCTTGAAGATGGAAGGACAGGACATTAGCTGGACAAACAGGAGATGTGGGGGCTGAAACTCAGCTCACACTCCAGATGCTAAACCATGTGCCTTCAGCTTGGGTCCAAACAAATGGTGTTTTCCTGACTTGTACAAAAGTGCTTTAGAGACCATGGCTTCCCTGAGCCCCGCCATCTACAATTCAGTCCTGCTGCCTTCAGATGGCACTGAAACTGGTCTACTCCACGTCCAGGGCCAGTGATGCATTTCAGGACTTTATTCTTTTTCTGAAACCTTTGTCCTGGCTGCAACCTGCATCTCTCCGCACAACATACCCACTCGCAGCTTGAAGTCATTGAAGGAGTGCTTGTTGATGGCATCCAGCTTGGCCACCAGGGCAAAGGCAAACTCCACCATGGTGCCTATGTGCATGTACTGACGCTCGGGCTCCTACAAGGAAGCAGACAGCGCAGAGGGTGTCAGAGCTGCATGGAGTGGAAAATAGCCCCACCACAAGCCTGCCTGCAGGCTGAAGGGAATGCCGACACACGCAAAGACATGTTGGAAGCATCACCTCTCACTGCCAGGAAGCCTACTGTGGGAACCTACTGTTGTGACAGGGGACAGAAGTTTCAGAAGACACTGGCTTGAGTGTTTGTCTCATGCAAAGTGTTTCAGGCATGGGGCTCATACATCGGTGACACTGTGGAACCCCGAAGACACCAACAGGCCAGCTTTTCTCCATCTTCCCTCTCCACCCATGCTGGGCCTTCTTGCTGGCTCCAGCTCTGCTGGCCTCTAGGAGCTGCCTCCCTCATCCCAAACATCCAGCCAAGAATGACCAGAAAAAGCTCTAGAGGGAGGAGTGCCAGGCTCTCCATCGCTGCTCCACGGAACTCTCTGACAGCAGTGGGCTCCCACCTCGTAGGACAGGGCTCCCTCTTCCTGGGTGCAGTGTTTGGTTCTCTCTCTGCAGTTTCCCTGGCTCTGTTAATACTCTGCTTCCTCTTGCCCTTTTACGCCTGCATGAGGAGAGTGCTGTGGGCTAAATGATAGATCCCCAGTTGAAGTCCTAATGTTGAAGTCCTAATCCCAGTACCGCAGAATATAACTCTTATCTGTTTGAAAATAGGTCTTTAAAGAGGTCACCAAATGAGGTCATTAGTATGAGCAGTCATCCAAAAGGACTGTTGTGCTGACAGGAAGAGGACACCAGGACTCAGGCGAGCAAGGAGAGAAGACCACATGAAGTCATAAGAAGGCGGCACCATCTCAAAACCATGGAGAGAGGACCCAGGGGAACTCACTCTGCCCACACCTTGACCTTGGACTTCTGGCCTCCAGACTGGAAAGAATAAACTCTTTTTAAGCCATCCAGTTTTGTGGTCTTTTGTTAGGTGACCTTTGCAAACCAATGTAATAGGAACTATTTATCCAAATATTTTATCAGTCCATGGGGTTGCAAAAATTATGCAGCTGAAAGATAGAAGCCCAAAGTTTTTGATGGGAGGTAAGTGAGAATATCTATGAATGCTTACTATTAATTTATTCATATTATTCCTGCTACTAATTTATAGTTACCATTCACTTATAACATTCCTTATATTTATGTCTTCAAATTTATCTTTCCTTAGCTTGTGCTTATGTCTATGTTTTAATAAAGAGTACTCATCATGCATATGACTCATAGAAATATTAACTACCACATTTGAAGGCTTCCACTCCCCCAGGACTCAGCAGTTGGGCACACACAATGGTTTGGGGAGCGATCTCTGTTTCAGGTTAGGTGGGTGACTCGGGCTTCAGGCGGAACTGAATCCCAGAAGCAGCCTACCGGGGATTGTGGTCCAGGTAAGGACGTCTGTTTTGGTGGTAAAGTCAAGGTTCTGGAAGTGTCCCTCATGTACGACTTTGTGAGCACTCCCAGGGGAGGCACTACTCTGCTAATTAGCGGAATAAGGTTTCCGGCACAGAAGTGCTTGGAGAGTGTCTACAGAGTGACTAAGCTTTGCCCGACAGTGGGTGAATCAGGAGGAAGTGGCAAGGAAGCAGGAGAGGAGAACTGTCAGACTCGGTGGGAAGCAGAAGCCAATGGATGCTGACCAGGGAACCGCTGCCCAGGAAGGACCGTTTGTGTCCGCTAAGGTTCCCCAGGAAGAAAGGGATCCATCTTGAGGGATGGACTTGGGACATGCCCTCAGCTAGGACATGAAGGGGAGAGAGTGGGTGAGGGACACTGGAAGCATTAGAGATGAGGAGAAGCAGAAGAGGAGCTGCTGTGTATCTCAGGCGAGGACTTCTGAGCCAGTGCTAAAGTCTGTGGGTCCCAGAAGAGGGCCAACTAGAGACTGAGAAAGATCTCAGAGACAGAAAAGGCACCTGGTGTCCGCGGCAGAGATGACCTTCTCCATGATGGTGAAGACGAAACCAACTTTAAGAGGGGGGAGCAGGAGACAGGGGATATGAATCACAGGGAGGTGGGGGAAACCATGGAAGCCACTACCAGGAAGAGAACCGTGACACCACTTATACTTCAGCTCCGCACAGCGACTGGTGAGCAGAATCGAGGGACAGCGTGCTGAACGGAGATCCTCAGCCTGGGTGTTGCCATGCTTGGGGCAGACAATTCCTGGGTTGGAGGCTCACCCTGAGCATCCCAGGGCGCTTAGTGCCATCTGACCTAGACCTACTGGACACAAGTGGCATATTGACACGTTACCTGGTTGAAAACCACTGCACTAAATAATACCAATGTGCATGGACAGGAGGGGTTAAGTTTCTCTTTAAAAGAGGAAATTTTTTGCTTGCCTTGGGTGAATTAACCATTCCGGAAAAAGACAAATGCAATGCATTCTTGCCATAAAAATCCTCAGCATAAAATAACAAGAAGAAAAAATCAAACAAATACAAAACTGGAACTGCGAAGCTAACAGTCAGTTCACTTAGGTGAAAATGCAGAAGGTCACTTCTGAAGGATACTAGGTTTCCCATCACAGCTCACTGGTGTCCTCGGCCTCACGACTTACAGGGAACCTGGGACTTGAGGATTATGCTGCATCTGTGAAACACCTTCTCTCTTAACCAGGAAGCACAGACTCTTAAATCAATCAACGGAATCTTGTGTGGCAAGATTACACAAGTGTCCAGTCAAGAAGAAGCATTTGCATGGGTGGAGAAAATGGCTTGCTTTTTATCACACGGAGGATTAGCACACAAGCCCAGCACCCCGATAAATTAGCATCCTGTCTGTTCTCCTGCAGGTTTGTAGTGGAGGCTTTTAAGGGACCTCAGTAATAAGAGATTGAGTTCCAATGGTGAGGTTTAAACCCAATGTCAATAACCCACACAGGCTTAGTAAATCCCAGAATGAAATTATGTTCGGTCTCTGGAAGAACTTAATTCATTTTGAAAGGTCCTCACAACTGAGCTCTTGATAAATATTTGATGGCAGCATGAAGCAGCTATTTCTCCCATGACCCAAATTATTTCTGCTAGATATCTCCAAATATCTAACTGACCTCCAGCCACACAGCAAGACAACCTGCTCAGGTCCCTGGAACAAAGCTTGTAAACTGACTGTTCTAGAAGTTTCACCAACAAGGAGCGCATAATACATTCGTGTGTAATGGAATTATTTAAAAATCTGAGTGACTGATAACAACTGGAGTCTCATTTTAGGTGAGAATTAATACAATCCTCTTTCCCCTCTTTCCTCCATTCACCAAGCACCTGCTTCATGCTGGGCACTGGGAGATTTCTGCTTCCCTACTTGCTTTTGCAGGGACTTGGGCATATGAGGAAAGGGGCACTGAGCTCCCCTGTGTGGGGCTCACAGTTCTCTGAGGGGACACCCCGGATCCTGGTAGGCAGAAGAGCTGCATGCTGCGATGCTCCACTCACCCAGGGGTGGAAGCTCAGGGAGTAACTCTTGGGTCAGAATCAGGCTCAGCTCCAGGTTCCCAATCATCAGTGCTGCAGCTCTGCCTGAGCCACTTAATTTCTCTGGGCTTCAGTTTCTTCGTGGTAAAATGGGACAATAATTATGAACCACAGCAGGTTGTGGTTAGGATTAAAGGAATTGCTCAGGCATCCACCTGACTCCATAGGCCTTGGGATGCATCTAGCATCCTAGGTGACATGTGGATAAGCACATCACCCTGATTGATATGGAAAGCATTAGGAGGGAGGAATCAGTGGATGGCTTGTCAGGTTTCTGTTATTGTGACAAAGCACCTGAAATAACTTAAAAGGAAAGGTTGACTTTGGCTCCCAGTTCCAGACGCCTCAGCCCATGGTAGCTGAACCTGGAATGGTGCAGTGCATCATGGTGGGTGCTATGTTTTGTGTATAGATGTCCCCCCAAACCCTTATGCAGTCATGGGAGAGGGCTTTTTCAGAGGTGGCTGAATCTAGAATGTGTGACTGATTCTTGGTGCAATGCTAGGATTAAGGGTACTAAGACTAAGGGTGAGTGATTACTAAGTCAGTGCACTGACTGGTCTAGCACGGCACTAATCTTGGCAGACTGCATACAATGTAGGGATAGAAAGAGCTTGTCTTGTCCCTTGCTTGCTTTGCTACTTCTGCCTGCCATGAACTGTTTCTCCTCTGCCAGGTCACCCTGCCGTGGAGTCAAATAGCTACAGACTGAAACCTCTACAAACTGCGAGCCAAATAAAACTTCCCTCTCTTTGGGTGTTGGGTATTTCATTTAGCAGTGAGAGAAAAGTAACTGAGACAGTGAGAATATGTGGAGGAGGAGGACCGTTCACTTTACAGAAGCCAAAGAATTAAAGAAAGAAATGGGTCAGTATCTCAAGATTCCCTTCAAGGGCTTGGCCCAGGGACCTTATTTCTCCCTCTAGGCTCCATCTCCTAAAGGTCACATTGACCCCCAGCAGTGCCACAGTGAGAGACCAAGCCTTGCACACGAGGGCCAGGGTGGTGATCCATGTTCCTTACCCTAGAACTATGAGACACTGAGGTAAGACGATTACAAGTTTGAGACCATTCTGGGAAAATTAATGAATTGGTGAGTCCATATCTCAAATAAATAAATAAACAAATAAATAAGGCTTGAAGATCTAGCTCAGTGTAGAGGTCCTGGGTTCCACTTCTAGTGCTGTAAATGAAAATCCAAAGCATAACAGGAGGGAAGGGCCTCAGGGTCCAGGTTGGCACTTCCTTTCCTGCCCTGATGGATGCTTTGACAGAGACCTCGGTGAACAGGAGTCTCAGTGAGTGTGCTGAAGAGGCACAGCTCATCTCCTCACAGGTCTCAGTGCCTGTTAACAGCATGGGTGTAGAAGGAAACTCGTCTCTTGTGGTAATGCTTTGGTGTGTGTACAAAATTGCGCAGCTCTGAGTCCCTACATGCATGTGCAATGACCTCGACCTGTCTTCTCCTCCTGTGGACCAGGCGGGGAAGCCTCAGAGGCCCTCTCCTTGTT